GTAACTCTGCAATCTCCGTAGTTGTTTGAACCATAAAGAAACGACTGAGCCAAGTCGATCATTCCGAAGTTGGAACTCCCCATGCCGACTAGGACGATGGACATGACAGGTAGTTGGAAGAAGTCGAGGAGCAGTAGCCCCAAAACGTCCCCTCTGTTGAGGTACCAACCTGCCCGCGGGCTGTGTGGAGACATGGCCACCAAAGCTATCCTCAAAAGAAGTGGCCCATTGATGAAAGAGGGCATCAACATCAGCAGACTGTGCTGGAAGCGGAGTCACAGCAACAGTGGGCCACGTCGTAGCAACTGAAGCCAGAGGCAGCTCAGCAGGACAAGGCCATCGTAGCAATGTGGCAGGAGCCAAGTCTACATCCAGGAAGGCCAAGACCGATGCATGTTCTGCAAAGACTTCTCTCACCTCAACCGATTGGCAAAGAGCCAAAGGATTTTATATAAAATTTTACTGATTTACTTTTTGGTTTTGAAGCTCTTCCCAGGTGACCCTATTTTGGACCCCCCGATTTCAGGGACCCCCTATTAGAAAAGATGCGATCGAGGTTTCCTTATTAGGGGGGGGGGGGCCGTGCTTTTTAATAGGTGGACCGGATTATAAATCATGGCTCGACTGTTGAAAAATCTGTTGACTAACCCCGAGTACACTAGGATGGTCAAATCATTTCTACCGCCTTTGAAAGGCTTGGTGCGTCAACAGTCCGCATGGTGTTTTGCATCAACTCGCCCTGTTTTTCATCAAGCCGGTTCTGAGTCCCAACGATCTTATAGCCTATATACCCTCCCTCCAACCCTCATGGAAGTGGAAAAAATTGCTTCGTGGGAAGTGGGAAGAGACGACTTTCTTCTACAAACACAGGTGGTGGGCTCCACTTCCATGTGAGTGTGAGTCTTCCTCTGTCCTCAGCACAAGTGAAGTCAGTGCAGCCAAGCCTCTGGGTCTCTTCCCAGGCCGCCTTGGCACGTCACGACCGGTGACACGACCCAGGTGCAGTCGGAGTCGGATGGGGACGGCTGTGGGCCACGGCCCACGATTTCAAGCCATGTGTCGTGGGCTGGGACCAGCACCTCCCACTCTAGATGCTGAAGAAATGCTAGAAAAAAGGGGTCAAGACAGAGGAGCAACCATCCACAAGCGTCTTCAAAATGCCAAGGATCTTGGTGTACCGTACTTTCCCCCATCTTTCCCCTGCCACCTGAAACAAAAACATCAGGCGTCAGACAGTATTTAAAGAAACGATCAGAAAGGCACGGAGGAGTATCATGTAATGATCATAGAGGACCTCCTTAAGACGGGTTCTGGCGGCCTATCTGAAAGTGATCCGTTCTGGATCAGGTTGCTCTTCTCAAGTGGCCGTGCTGTGGCTCGGTCGGACCAACTCGACCTCGGACCACCGACCGCTCCGCGCCTCCCAGACGTGTTCGAGCCCTTGGGCCACGTCATGCCCTGCTCGCCAGCGGTGCGCTGGGTCAGCGCCTGGCGCGGCAGCTGGGCGGGTCCTGTCCCCTGTGGATCAGCCGAGCAGCTGGGCTAGAACCGAGTCCTGAGGCGATGAAATCAAATTAAGGCTCTTGGCATCTCTTGGCTCAAGGTGCCAGGATGATCATGTTGTGTCTCTTGTTCTTTGGGCAGAAACTTTTGGCCAAATACCTATCTGCGGGATCTACAGTAGTGGCAAGGACCTGGCGGTGAAGAAACACCCGCCCTCCCATCTACTATACTGTAGACTATACTTTGAGACTTTTGGATCTTTAGGATCTTTTGGTTCCAATAACCTATCAATCAATTTGTCGGACACTCGATGATCTTTTGGATCTGTGATGCCAGTCAACACCTCAGCTACCCAGCTACCCACCCCCAGCTTCCAACCTGGTCTGCATGCGGGGTCCGGTCGAACGTGCCTTCGTCGCGGCACAGCGTGAAGTACTGCCACGCCCTCCGCTGCGGCGGCTTCAGCGCCAGCTTCCAGGCACCCAGCGCCTCGGGCGCCACCTGTGGGGGTGAACTCACTGAAATTCGGCTTCAACCGGTTCCGGCCCGGCCGCAGCGGTGAGCGGTGAGCGGTTCCGGCTCAGAAGAGGTCCGAGCTGTCGAAGTTCCGAAATCCAAATCCGAAGCCGTGGGCCTCCTCCCATCTCCCATCTCTCCAACTTTCCCCACCATGGACTCCCGAAAAGCCACGAAAAAATATACAACAACTCCTGGCATGTCCAGCCTCCGCCGGCAAGTGCCCTTCCAGGAAAAAGAAATCGAGTTGCGGATTCCTCCGAATCCTGCAGCAGATGCGCAGATGCTGGAGAATCCCGGTCTAGAGAATCAAGTCCAGGTTGCTACCCAATGTCCCCGACCGTCTACCGGGGACCACCCAGTGGCTGTTGATGTTACAATATCTCCAATCTCGAATCTCCCTCTCTCCCTCTCATTCCCTCTCTCCCTCTCCGTCCCTCTCTCTTTCTCTCTCTTTCTCTCTCTTTCTCTCTCTTTCTCTCTCTCTCTCTCTCTCCCCCCTCTCCCTCTCTCTCCCTCCGAAAACTGCCAGCATCTTGGTGTAGAATGCAGCGCCACCGTTCAACAAATCACACTGTTCTGCCGCTGTTGATCTCAACAAACCCAGAGGGGCACCTCACATACTCCTGCACTTGCCCACAACATCCTGGTTTGAACCCCTGATCAAACTACAGAAGGGTACCCTCCCTCCACACTGCCCGAGAATGCACGAAGAACCGTCAATACCATGAAGAAACGTCTCGCACATCAATTTTTCAGTTCTGCGGCTTTTACTGTACTGGCTCTCTTACCTCACACTGGACCACGTCCAGGTGCCTTGAGCTGGACCCCAACACATTGGCAGGTGCCTTGAGCTGGACCCAACGTTCGGAACCTGTTTCCTCTTTGGAGGACTCCCTGTGTTCGGTGTTGTTCTGAAGTTCGGACGCTGCACAGCGCCTCAGACAGCGTACCCCTCTTGAAGGTAGGATGCCCCACGGTCACCGTGAGCTCTCCACGTCCATGGTCTGTTCTCCAAAGTCAGGACCGAGTCTCAACCCGAGCAACTGCCCTCTGAAGTAGGCCTCAGTTCGGCCACCTGCCTACGCGCCGTAAGTCACGGCGCGTATCGTGTGACGAGAACGGAGACGTTACATGGACCCCAGGCCTAAGCGAGCTTACTTCTTGCGCACCCCAACTCAGCACACCGCATGGAGGCAGGGTCGAACCGTCTAACCTAAGGCAATAGTGTGGACATCAACAGACAGGCGCGATGCCGAAGGGAGGGCCGGGCAGGCCAGGCTGTCAAGCAATGCCTTTCAGGATCTAGGAGCAACAACTTCTTGCTGCTTGCTTCAAGCACCATCATCTTGTGCATGGATTTCCATCCTCGAAACCATCTTGGTGACCGCCTTGTTCGCTGGTATTGGTTGTATTGGTAGTATCCACCAGCAGCCAATACCACCTATATACTTGCAAAAGCCAGATCGATCATCTTGAACCAGACTTGGTTTCTTCTCTCAAAGTGGACCCCTGTTGAGGATGATCCAATCATGCTAGCCAGGCCAAGAAAAAAAAGCAAAAGCACTTTGATATCATGATTATCATGCAAGTGCGGCGACAATTACATGTCAACTCCAGTCTGTCCACAGAAATTCCTCTGGAAACGTCTGTCCACCAAAAACGCTTGCGCTCACAGCCCCTGCAAAAGAATAAGGACTCAGAAACCGACCCTCAGTCTCACGCAACTAGTCTGGAGCACGACACTAACATGCCAAAAACGTTCAATCATGCTCCGCCCTGTCGTCTTGTTGGCACCCAACCCTCCGGTTTGTCGCACGACCTACACCTTCGACCCATCAAGGTACACTGTTCAGGCCGCGGCCATGGAGGCAAAGGACCCGTGGCTTCGACATGGGTCATAGGAAGTGTCCCGCGCCCGAACACGATGCGAGGCGGAGTCGACGAGGCGAGACGAAGTACCGGACTGAGACGAAGTACCGGACTCAGCAAGTCTGTGACGGGTTTGGGGTGACCGGTGGGAACACTTTTTCGCCAGCAAGTGGTTTGGGTCACGCTTCGGCAAGGTCTTGGTGCCAGGACTACAGTCATGACTAGAGTCTAGTCATGGTTTCTTGACGGTTCGACATCACATGGAGATGGACGGCATAGGCTCCCTGGGAGACCAATTGGCTCTAGGAACAAGGGATGAACAGTGGATATTCCACTTCCATGTGAATGAGCAGGAGTCACTCCTAATGGATAGGCCGCACCCCTGATGACTATATACCAGCTATATTTATATAGCTCTTGTTGTTGCTCGGTGCCTTGACATGGAACTCTTCTACTGGGAAGCTAGTGGGACCAATCCTCACTCTTGTGAGATCCGTGGTAGGGAGTGTAGGTCCACTGGTGTCATAGCAAACCTCCTTGGTCTGCGCTCGGTGTTCTTTGAGGCTTGCTGGAGTCTGTTCGGGTTTTGGCGGATTGGCACTGGTTCCAACCACAGCTCACTGGTTCCAACAATGATGTCAGGCCCTGCCGGGCCTGGGATGTTTCCAAGCACTAAGCACTCGCGCTGGTCACGTCAGCAGCTAGCTAGAAGTGGCCGTGAATCCTGGCCTCCCGAACACGTCAACGTCACTTCTAGCTCGCTTGGCCCATTCTTTTTTCACACCTCCTTGAGCCAAGCGAGTGGCGAAAAGTGGAAGGGCGCCCGCCAGGCAAACAGAGCCTGAGGGTCAACCACGCAGGTTCGGAACACCCTGGGCTTGACCGCTCCAAGGTCCGAGCACTGAGCACATCTGTGGCTTCCCCGGTCTGTGGCGCCAAAAACGCCATCAACTCATCGTAAAGAACTACAACTTAAAGGCAACACTGTCAACACTGTTCACTATTCCAAATGCAAAGTTTTCACCACGCCCCAGTTTCAGGAATCCTCTTCAATCATGGCCTATCGGGCCCCCAACTCCTTCCCCAGCCAAACTCTGCCACCAAGCATCTCAGACTCCTTGCTGTTCCCACTGTCCTCCTTCACCTCATCAGCCTGGAGCGGTTGAAAAAAGCGCCACCCCACCTGGCCTGGGTCGAAGCCAGTGGTTCAGCTCCAAGAGGGCTAAAAGATACCGGGACTCCTCAACCACCAAAAAGATTATGCAACAAGTCTTCAAATGCGAAAGAAGAAAAGAAAAAAAACAAGTCTCCTGGGAGAGTCCTACATGTGAATAATTCGGAGTGTAAATATGAATATAGCATCCCACATATGCTCGCCTCATGCAGACCCCACCAATACCACCGTCTACCGTCCTAACGTCTCACCATCTTCGACTCCCCATGATGCCTTGGAGGACGTCAGGGGCTTCCTCAGCTTCTTCGCCCGAGCAAGCGCTTCCGGCGCGGGGGAAGCCGACAGACCCGCGCCCGAGTCACTGGAGGTGTCAGAGCCAGACTCGCCCGGCTCCTGGCAGAAAAAGCCGGGAAGCCAAAGCATCTTGGAGTCCCAAAAACCTGCGAAGCCGGGCTTCGAGCCACGTTCACCTGACTCCACGCCGACCTCCTGGGCGAAGAGCTGCGTCGTGACCTCGCTGGAGAAGGCTTCGCTTCGGGAGACCAGCGCCTGCGGAAAGCCCCGGTGGTCGGTGGTGTCTGAGGGTGTGAGCTGGGGTGTTGGTCGGCCCCCAACCAACAAAGGTGGAAGGACCGTATAGATCTACAGACAGACTATCCCATAGGTACCCCAGTAAGGTATCCCTGTGGGTTCGACTTCTGGTGAAAAGAGTGGGAGCAGGGATGCGAGGAAAGTCAGCCTCTGCCATATATCATATCATATACAGTATCTAAATTATAAAGTATTAAGACTAAATAATATCTATATATCTACAGTAGGAGTCTAAAGGTTGATGTACCTCTACCATCCTGCCTGGATATTGTCGAAATGCTGCTTCTCTTTGGCCTTGTGTCGCTGCTGCACCTGGCGGATCCGCTGCCACACGGTGCAGCATCTGGGGACTGTCTGCGCGGTGAAGGAATGAGGGCTTTTTAGGGGGCCATCCTCACCGGTGCACGACCATAAAACCATCTAAAACCACTCAGACGGTGCTCCCAGGAAGGAAAAAAACCAACTCCTGGGAAGTGTTCCCCCCATGACTGAAACAAGCGGAATTGATATCCTCTGAATTTTATCCACTGGGAATAAAGGCTGGTGAGATGGTGCCCGTCCTTTGGTTGCAGCAACTGGCAGCTAGTCCCAAACCTCGCGAAAACCACCACAAACACCATGAAGCCGCATCACAAACCTCTTTCGATGTGCAGTGCATGTTAGAAGGAAACATGTAGATTGTCTCTGTGTGCATGTACAGGTACAGGCATAATCCTCAAGTCCCTTAACCCCTGTGGGTTCAGAGTATAGAAAGTAAAAAAGAGCCGTCTGCGCGGGTTTGGATAGAGGTGCTCAACGACAAACGGCGCAATTGAATTGTAACAATAATGTATATTATATATATTTTTTGTTTGACATATGAATCTTAAGACTATTCATTGACATACCGGTCGCCAAAACAACCATGGAATACCAACTAAAACCCTATAATAGACCTGTAATCGCTCGTAGCTGGGGTCCAAGAAGAACCTCAGCCGCTTGGATCATCTTCAAGTCTCGTGCTGGTGGCAGCCCCAACCAGCCAGCCCGAGCGGCCTCAAAGTAGGCCGCAGCACGGCAGCAGCTCCGCCAAAACTTGGCCACCTCCTGCGCGTTCGGGGCGAGGGGCGAGGGGCGATGGGGGCCGGCCCTGTTGCGCCTTGCCTGGCGACGTCCAAGTGACGGATCCCTTTCTTGTTCGGTCACCAGGTGTCCATCACCCCTCCGACGAAGCAGAAGAAAGGATACTTTCAGTTATGGTTAAAAGTTGATTCGACATAAATACAATATGTATAATGTGTATATTATATATATATATATAGTTAGCCGTTTTTTATTACGTATTACTATTATTGTTATACTGCAGCTATTTGCGTTATGCTTCCACACACTAATCCTGCGTAATTCTATGATATGTGATGATGTTTGCATATGTTTGCTCCACTTGTCACTTTGTCGGGCCTGCGCCACTTTGGCAGCAGCGGCCTTGGCAATCCTTTGCTCCTCCTCCACACGTTGCCTTCGTCTCACCCATGGGCGTGCACGTGAGCTGGCCAAGAACCCCATATCTTTAAAGTGACTCGCTTGGTTCACACAAGCCAAAGCTTCAAGAAGCGGGACATTCAAGTATACTAAGAGGTACGTACTAAGTGAGCATACAGCATCTGCTTCCAAACCAAAAGCAACTCCAGTTCGAGCTGTCCACAGGTCGGTCATGTCCGTCTTCGCGGGGAGAAAGCCCGCCAAGCCACGCTTCCAGGCTCTTCCGGCGATGCAAGAGCACGCCCACCTGCCACACGTCGCGCGGGCCACATGAGCCGGTGGGGCGAGACCGGTGGGGATGGGCGTGCGTCTCCCGCACTCTGGCGGAACTGGGAGCCGCACACGCGCGCGGCACTCCGTCCAGCCAGTTCAAAAAGTGTCCACATGTATACGAAGCATTTCACCGAGCCTCTTAGCAAACAACTCCCCAAAAAGATCCAAAAAGCGCTTTCGCCGCTCTGTTCGCGTCTTCTTCGCCGCTCCGTTCTCGTCGTTCCCCGCCTCGTGAGCCGCGCGCTGCGCGAGGGCCTTGCGCTTGGCGGTGGCGTTTTGCAGCTTGGTGCTGGCCGCGCGCAACTGGACGCCCAAGGACACCTGCCGCTCCGAGGACACCGTCATCATCCGTCCCTCGTCCCTCCAGGCAGGTCAGTGAAAGGGCAGGGAGTCGGTTCGGCAGAGAGGTGATTCACTTGATACGAAACGACATGAATAACCACGAGGGAAAGGTGAAAGCTTGCAGGCCAAAGGAAACACCGTCATCGAGCAGATTCTGATTGAATCCTGTTTTAGGGGAGCTCGGCCTAGTTCTTCTCGAACTTAGTTGGACCTCAGCAAAGGAGGATGGAATCTCATAGGATGGAAATACAATCCATAAGTTCCTCCCAAACCCCTCCAAATGAGATGATGAGAGATGCATACAAGAGAACCCCCCAGAAACCGCCAGGCTACGGTGTCTCTGGCTACGGCCGTTTGGCTACGGCTCCGGCGGAGTGTCGGACCGGGCGATGCGCGTCCTCATGGGCCATCGCATCGCGGCCATCGCATCGCGGCCATGCAAGGGGTCGGAGGTCGGAGGTTGGACTGGAAAAAAGCCGAAACCAAGTCAAAACCACATGAGAGGGAGCTAAAAAGAAGCTCAATTCAAAAGAAGCTTGCGGCAAGCTTGTGTTAGCTAAGGCTGCTTCTGCCTGCTTTGGGCTGGGAGTGTGTTTGGGGGCTACTTGTGCGAAGCGAAGACTCTCGCCACAAAACAAGAGCATCCACTACAAAACTGATCCACTCATGTATCGCGTTTCAATATGCACCAGCACAACAGCCACCATAATTACTAACAAACACAATTCCGCCAAGGCTATGTTGGTGGCCTTTTGTTCTCCTACGTGGAGTCAGGTGCTTTTGAGATCGGAGTCAGCCACGCTGAGGTCAGTGAGACCTTCCGGTGACGCCCGTCACGAGGGCATCGGCCGAAGCTCTCTTAGAGTTGTACCCAAATTGAGTCCAACGACCGGAAACGGGAAACCACACATTAGAACGACCCACGGTCAAAATTCTCTACATTGGTCCCTTCTCGCCTGCGATTGAGTGAGCCCCCCTATCGTTTTTACAGTGCTTGCACGGGGTTCCTAGTAGAGTGCCACTCTAGCCAAAAGAGCTCTTGGACAAGTCTTCCAGCCGATAGCTAGGAGGAGTTGTTTCTGGAGGCACCCATCCCTCTGGAAATCGTTCTGGTTATCGTTTTAAGCACGCTCACAGACGGCCACCATTCAAGAAGTATAGGCGATCATTTTGTTGTGAGCCCCCTATCGTTCTACAGAGCTTTGGGCACCTCCACAAAATCAACGGGACATCCTACAGGAGCTGCCTTTCCAATATTCCTGCCTTTGCCTTACTTAGTGGTTCAGTCACACTATCACATTGGTGACAACATTGAGAACTCCAGGAGCATCGAGGGCACGACTGTGCAACATGTATTCCAAATCATTCCAAATCCATTCATCCATTGCGTAAAATGCTTTGCTTTCTTGGGGCGGGGCCATGTCAATTTTGACGTCTTCCGTTCGGTCAAGACGGAGGATAGATGACTCGATGACGACTGAACTATTTGTTTAAATACGGTGAAATATGGTGTTCTAATACACACATATATATATATATACTTGTATGTATAGAGTATAGACATACACAATCATATACACAGTATATCTGACCTTGCCCAGCAGCGTTGAACTCCCCCTTGCCTCCCAGAAGTTGCTCAAGTAAAAAATGTTTGCCTGCTTGCGAATCTGCTTCTCAGAAGTAGCGGTGTTGGACCAATGCCATGAACATACATGAATACATGAACCACTTGAATTTACAACTCGTAAGTCGTAACTCGTAAGTTGCAAGCCCCAGAAAAAAGGTCAGCATGGGATCCAGCTCCTCAGGTGTCTTCGATCGGCGTTGGCACTCTTCAACGTCATTCAGGTCACAAATGCCGGTACCATTTTGCCGGGAGTTGTCACCCGAAACTGAGCGACAGTACGGCACCCATGCGCCATATCTTGACCCCCGGGCTGATCAAGAACCGATTCCTGGGATGTCAACCTCCCACGGACTCTCTCTCTGGGGGAGGTTTTGACTCGGGGTGTGACCACTGAAGGTCAGTGGAATTTTCACTTCAGCTCAACTGCTGAGTTTTTCACATCGCTGGCGGCTGCCGCTTCTGCGGCCCACGGCGCGAAACGCCGCCGCGGGCCGAAAGGAAGTGAAACTTTCGGTGAAACTTTCGGCCGCCACTGCAGCTGTAAGAAAAGCAAGACTAAAACCAGTAATGCCCTACATACATACCTTTCAAGATCCACCAAAGTCACAGCATGCCCACATACCTTGTCTCTCTGTTCTCTGCTGCGCCGCCTCATCGAGGTGAAACGGGAACTTCCCAAACGGTGTGATCCGACGGACTGGGATTGGAATCTGAGACAACTGTTATGGATGGGGCATTCTAAGGGCTTTGGAAGATAGACCGTTCCTCTTAGAGTTTCATTTGCAAGTCTCCATCTTCAAGTATCCATCTGTTCATGCTGCTAGTCGCTGCCAGTCGGCAAAGGGAATCAGCTGCTGGCCGAACTTTGACCACTTTCACAAGACACCCTGCAAGCTCATGGCTCACGAAACTGCGGGGACCGCTTCCCAGCGTAGCCAGAGAAGAGCTTCGACTTTTCGTTGGAGTCCTGGGGGGAATCAAGATTGAAATGTTTGGATAGAAGTGGAGGGTGGATGATGGATGACTGTGCAGGCTCGATATATATATATATACAGTATATAATTTGGCAAGGCTTGACCTTGTAACCCGGCTATCATAGATTACAAGAATCACTCCTCACTTGCCGAACACTTCCAACATCTGCAATGCAGCAGGCCTACACTGGCAAGGTTTTAATCTGTTCGTCAAGCATCTAGTGACTCTCCGTTTTATCCTCCTGACCACTCAAAGACAGCTAAGCTAAGCTATTGTCGTTGTATTGAAGATGCCCGTTCTGCTGCTCTGCTTCTGACTGGATTGTGTCACTCTTGCAGCTGAGAAGCGTCACCTGGAGCGCACAACCTCGGAAGATCACGGGGCCCAGCTCCGGTCAAGGCCCCAGCCCCACCGTCGTCGAAGGGATACGACCACCTCTGCAACATATCCCACATACTGGGCGGACTCCCGGTCGGGCAACGCAATGGTTTTCCCCGAACTCTCCATATGTGGAAGGAAAGCCACATGCCTCAACAAAAGTTCTCAAAGGTTTTCAGGTGATAGACCGATTGTACAGCCACTGACTGGATAGATTATAGGAGAGTAGGAACTTGGGGCTTTTGATTCCTTAGATCAATGAATCAATGACACAAAACAAAACTACAGAATTGCTGGCCCGGTTCCGTGTCACCTTTTACGATCTTCCATGTGTTTTGCTTCTTGAGAAGGCAGGTCGCAGAAGCACCGGAAGTGGAAGAAGCCCGTAGCAAGGCCCAATGAATAAGGAACTGTATCAAGTATTGGCTATACCTTGTGCCAAGCTAAGAGGTCCAAGTAGGTCCAAGAGAACAGAAACCATTGTGCCACAAAAAACATCCACAATGTAGGTAGACTCTCTTGATTTATACCGGGATATACCGGCGGTCTTGATCAAAGAGTCTCTACCTTTCCCTGTTTTCACCGTTTCACCTCGGAGGTCAACCTGCACAGCATTCCGAACATACCGTTGGAGCACGAGGCGCCCTCGAGCCATGCCACGGCTGAGGCTGCCGGAGGGGCGTCCGGCCGCCCTGGGGGTCGGAGCCATCGGCGGTGAGGCTGGGGGAGGCGCTGGGGGAGGCGTAGGTCCCCCAAGGAAACCTCCATGAGACGGCGAAAGCAAAACGAAAGGCTATCAAGGCTCGAACGGATCTTCTAGAAACGCACCGATACCTTCTTCTCTACGACGTCGTGCATGGGGGTGATGTTGTGGAGGATCTTCTAGGAATGCACACCACTCCCGCGAGGTGCGATCGAGCTTTCTGATTTGGTGTGGCTGTCCACTCCAGAAACCAAGAAAGAATGGAAAGCCTCAAGCTGATGTGCAAGATTGGCGGCCCATCTGGTCAACTAGGCCGCCCAAGCCCAAAGGATTTGGTCAATTTTCCTTGGCTTGGGGTGGGCTACAGTAGCTTCTAGAACCCAGCCCCAAACACTTGTTGATCAACAGTCATCTTCTTGAAACGCCTCGCGTACAGGAAAGCAAACACACTTCAAGTCTTTCTCCGACCCTGGCTGTTCCCCCCCCCACAGGCGCAAAAGGCCGGAGTGTCCCCACGGAACGGAAAACGCGCCGTGGGGTCTCGCCCCATTTGGCCAAGAGGCTCTGGGTCAAAATGATGCGGGGAGCCCTGAGACGGGAGAGACCCAGAACGACCAATGGGTGCGAGAAAAGGGTCGCTCCCCCACGAGACATGCGTTTCTTGTGAGTTCCCCAGTTCATCAAATGGACCCACAATCAACACGTAGAGGGCATGATCTACTATATATATATATATGTGTGTGTGTGTGTGTATGTATAAAACTCTCATTATCGTCACTGTGCTTGGCGGACAACCACGGCCGAATACAGCCAGTCGAACATCCCACATGGTGTGAGAGACACAGAGAGAGAGAGAGAGAGAGAAAGAAAGAGAGAGAGAGAGAGACAGCGAGAGAGACAGAGACAGAGAGAGAGAGACAGAGAGAGAGAGAGAGACAGGGAGACAGAGAGACAGAGGGACAAAGAGACAGAGAGAGCTTGGGCCCTTTTGCAGTTCTTGACAATCCCGCCACCATGTGTTGGGCGGGCACCTGGCCTTGTGTGTTGCACGTTGGTTCCAGCTACGGACGCCTGCCGCCTGGTCAAAGAGCTTTAGATACCTCGCGTCGAGCAAAGAAGGCTGTGGTAGGCATGGGGACTTGGTCATGCAAAGCGGTGGCGAGTCAGGGTTGAAAGTTCTCGTGGGGTGATTCCAAGGCGCCAAAGACCACCAGAATGTAGACTCTAGAATAATAAACCTTAAATGGACGCGGGTATTATTAATCAAGAATCTAGATTGTTCGGCGGTTTGCACGGCAGTGCTAAAACCTAAAAGATGGCAACTGTTAGCTCTACTGTTTGCAAATTTTGGAGCCAAGACCGTGGGAAGAACAAGGACAAAGCATGACAAAGCGGGACGACTACAGTGGAGGATTTCCCCCGTGATCGTCATCGCAATGGACCCCCCGTCACCCCAATGGAGCCTCAAAAAAACCTGAGCATGAACTGAAGACCTCCTGAGCGCAAGTCTCTGTGAGGTGAGTTCCGGGCGCAAGGCTCGGTTGCCGAATTGGGGATGCACCGTCAGACGCTCCGCGTCACACACAGGAAATTTGCTCAGATCGGTTCCTGCTATGCTGGCACACTCCCCGCACGGACAACCACATTGGGAAGAAGAACAACAACCAATTTTGACAGGAACCAGGTTCAGAGGTATGCATTGATTGCCAGGTGCCGTGGCCCCTCCTGGAGTTCTGCTCTCCCTGTCCAAGGCGCAACTCGCTCTGCTCGCTCTCACGTCCTTGGATCCAGTGCGGGAGGCCCGGGCCCTCTGAGGCGGGA